GGCAATGTCAGACACAGGCCAGCTTGTATCGGGGGAGCAACTTTGAAGACGAGCCCTAATCATCTGCTCTGCCGCTGTCCCCCAGGGCCCTGGGGCCCTCCATTCTGTGCTTGTTTCCCTGCCTCCCCAAGCCCAGGGGTTGGACCCAAGTGCTTGGTAAAGGCTTGCGTGTCGTTGGTGGGTTGGAGCCCCGGCCTCGCCCTAGCTCTGGGAAGGTGGGGTGCGGGGGGATTGGAGGCTCTGGTGTCAGCCCCGGCCTTGTGGCCAACGTGAGTGTGAGGAAGGCCCCACGGTTCTGCCTCCCTCCGACCTTCCAGCTGTGAGCTGGGGACCCTGCCACGGGAGAGCAGGGGAAGCATCCCCAGGACAGGGTGGGCAACCCCAGGGCACTGCCCTGTCTTGTGGCCCGGCCGCCGCTAGAGGGCAGCGTTGTGTAGTCTAGGAGGCCCCAGCCCAGAGCCTGCGGAGGGCTGGTCTTGGAAGGGTTGTCCTCTCTTCCCTGTCCAGGGGGCCTCTGATTGGAAAATGGAAACGACCACTGAGGGCACTGTGGCAGGGAGGGGATCCTGTTCTCAGGAAGGCTCGGCCAGGGGCTCTTCAGGTAGGCTCCCACCGGGATCAGCGGACATTTATTAAGCACTTACTGTGTGCTGGGCACTGTGCTAAGCCTCTGAGGTGCTAAAAAAGCCACTGACGGCATCCCTGACCCCAGGAGCTCACATTCTAGTGCAAGGGACAGTGTACAAGCGATCATAGACACGCAACATGCATGCATACACATGCAGACATGTGTGAGTGTGTACATAGGATATACAATACATGTGTATGTATATAGACAAACAGGCATAAAAGTGCGTATGTATTATACACATACATATGTGTATAGACACGGATGTGTATGAGTGTGCACATATTGTACACAGTGTATAGACATGTGTAAGTGTGCATATACTTTACACACATGTAAGTGTGTGTATGTGAATGGGTATGTATGTGTATATGGTAATCTCAAGGGGAAGGCTCTAGTGGTGGTGGGAGAGGCTGTGAAGGGCTTGTTGCAAAGACAGCGTTTGAGCAGAGTCTGGAAGGAAGCGAGCAGGGGAAGAGGGAGAGCCATCCAGGTGTGGGCCAGCCAGTGGCAGGCCATGGGGTCAGGAGACAGAGCGTCCTGAGCACGGAGCAGCAGGAGGGCCATCGAGTGCATACCTTTCAACTGGAAGTTCAGCCCCTTGAAGATCCCAGGGACGTCTCACCACGTTTGCCATGAGGTGAGGAATTTCTCAGCCACAGAAACTCTTAAAGATTGTGGAGAAGTCCATGCAAATGGCACTCATGCGCTCCCTTAGTGTGTACTAAGCACCTGCTGTGTGCTGGACACTGGACCTGGTGCTGGGGTAATGCAGAGACCAAAACAACAAAAAGCAGTCCGTCCCCTCAGGGGTCTTCCATTTCCTTGGGGGTGGGGAGGGGCCTGAGTATTCAGATGAGTCAGGGGAAGGGAAGGGACTCTCCCGGGATGGGGTCAGAAATCTTGGGGGCCATACGGGTCATCGTCCTTGGGTTACTGTCCTCTCCGTGTTGGTTATCGTGATGGTCAAATGAGATGATCTGGGACCATAAAGCCCACTCCAGCCCTGGTATTGGGGGTCTGTGCACCACCCCCTCCGGCCCGTAGCTCTCAGATGTCCACCTAAGCTGCCTGTGGAGACTGCAGCGGGGACCCCAAAGCTCCTCTTCTTTATCCACAGGCGGTGGCCTCCTCGCTCTGTGTTTTCACTCGTGATTCGTTTTTATCTTGAAGCATAAATCTTATTTCAGTTGACAGAATATTCATCAGAGAGATGAAGAAAGTCCCAAGAGAATAGGAAGAGCAAAGCTTGAAGGTTGTCATCTAGCGCCCCCCTCCCGGCCCCCCAAGAGATTGTCCCTCACGCGTCTGTAGCTTGAGGTATCTCCACGGGGTGGGAGGGCGCGTGTGTTCACTTTGTCAGGCAGTCGTGGGAGCGGCCGCGTCGGCCTGTGTTCCGGGCCCATTTGGACCTCTTTGGCCAGCTCTTGCATGTCTTTGTTGCTGCCATTAATTATGGATCTGGGTTCCCAGGGCTTGGAAGCCTGTGTTGGAAAGGGGGGTGTGGGGCTGTTGTTAACGATGAAAGTCCCCCATAGGGGCTGCCTGTATTGTAGACTGGCACAGCGTGGGAGTTTCATCAGTGGTAGTTGAATTGAATAAGAAACTGGAGAGAGAACTTTCCTCCTCCCTCGTCCCGGTTTTTCCGCTGCCTGGCCATAGGGTTCAGGCTTGCCTTTCTCACGTGGGCAGAAGCCAGAGTGATCTTGGTAACTTTAGTCGTACCCTGCCCTGGTGTTTTGGTGGCGTTCTTCCGACCTTGAGGAAATGGGTGATAGGCAAAGGTGGGTAGGAGTGGACAGCCGCCAGTGTTTCCGTAGGACCCACGGAACGGAAGCCGGCCTAAGAGCGGGCGCCCCGCATGATGGGGAGTCCTCTTTTGGAGGACTGGCGGGCAAATGCAGGCGAGAGGATGAAGACCCCTGGCTCGGTCGCGATTTGTGACAACAGAGGAACTAGCCTTGCTGGTGAGTTCAGGGATCCAAAGATCCAAGCGGCTTGTTCGTTTTTATTTAGCGTTTTGTAGGCACGTGGGCTTTTATTTGTGGTTGTGGATTGCTGAGTGTTTATTGCAGAAACTGAACAAATCACAAGCTAAAAGGCCTCAGTGGGTGCTTGTGGATTTGCAGGTGAGGATGTTCTGAGGGGAATTTTGTGCGTGTTGCTGCTTGGAAGGACAGTTTCTGTTATAAAGCCTGAAAGATTTCATTTTTCATCATATCATAATACAGAATGAGAAAACAACTGTTTGAGATTCCTGAGGGTGCTGAATTTGGAAATCACTGAAGAACAGCCAAAATTAATATCCTCTACTTAATAAAAAATGGCTTTCTGGTATTTCCAAGTTTGAATTCATCTCTTATTTTTTTTGTAAATAGTATTTTACTTTTTCCAATTACATGTAAAGATAGTTTTCAACGTTCATTTTTTTATAAGATTTTGAGTTTCAAATTTTTTTCTCCTTCCCTCCCTCTACCCCCACCCCCCCAAGATGACAGGCAATCTGATAGAGGTTATACATGTGCCATCATGGAAATATCTTTCCACATTAGTCATGTTGTGAAAGAAGAAACAGAACAAAAGGGAAAAGCCACAAAAACAAAAAAACCCAAAAAAGTGAAAATAGCATCCTTCAGTCTGCATTCAGACGCCATCTTTTTATGATGTGATTCAGACTTTTTTAATCATTGTGTATTATTTGGGTCAAACTTAAAAAACAAAACAAAACAACTGATGAGCCTCTCTCTACACAGCACGCAGGCTAGAGGACAGTGGTCCCCCAAAGACCAGAGGTGGCCTTGTCTTTGAAGATCAAATGACTCTTTCCTATCTGCTGTAAATCCTATTCTTTCTCTCTTTTCCTCCTCCCTCCCTTCCTTCTCCCCTCCCTCCCTCCCTCCTTCCTTCCTTCCTTTCCTTCCTTTCCTTTCCTTTCCTTTCCTTTCCTTTCCTTTCCTTCCTTTCCTTCCTTCCTTCCTTCCTTCCTTCCTTCTTCCTTCCTTCCTTCCTTCTTCCTTCCTTCCTTCCTTCCTTCTTCCTTCCTTCCTTCCTTCCTTCCCTTCCTTTCTTCCTTCCTTCCTTCCTTCCTCCCTCCCTCCTCCCTCCTCCCTCCCTTCCTCCCTCCCTTCCTTCCTCCTTTCCTTCCTTCCTTCCTTCCTCCACCCTCTCCCTCCCACCCCCTCCCTCCCTTCCTCCTCCTCCCCTCCCTCCTTCCTTCCTTCCTTTCCTCCCTCCCCCTCCACCTCCTCCTCCACCCCCCTCCCTCCCTTCCTCCCCCTCCCTCCTCCTCCCTTCCTTCCTTCCTTCCCTCCCTCCCTTCCTTCCTTCCTTCCTTCCTTCCACCCCCCCTCCCTCCCTCCTCCCTCCCTCCCTCCCTTCCTCCCTCCCTCCCTCCCTCCTTCCTTCCTTCCTTCCTTCCTTCCACCCCCCTCCTCCCTCCCTCCCTCCCTCCTCCTCTCCTTCCTCCCTTCCTTCCTCCCTCCCTTCCTCCCTCCCTCCCTTCCTCCTTCCTCCTTTCCTCCCTTCCTCCCTTCCTCCTTCCTTCCTTCCTTCCTTCCTTCCTTCCTTCCTTCCTTCCTTCCTTCCTTCCTTCCTTCCTTCCGTCCGTCCCCCTCCCGTCCCCCCTCTCTCCCTCCCTTTTTCACTCTTGCTCTCTCTTTTTCTTTCTTCTCACCCCAGAAGAGTCCATGTGGCTGTCAGGTGCTGCCATCATCTGGACAACAAGTGTCAGCACAGTCCTGGCTGCATATTGATAATTTTGTTTTTAGCCAGGAGTGGGATGGTGGTTGCTCTAGGCCAGCGGGGTCCTTGTCCGCCTTTCCATTGCTCTTCAGATGGTCCTGCTCCCCGCCCTGTCTTGTGTGCTCTGGCTTCCTGCTGAATTAATTTCATGATCCGATGGGAGGTTGGGGTTGTGTGTGGCCATATTGCAAACTATTCACTGTTATATGAATTCCTCCCTTTTGTTTCTCTTCCTTCCTTTAGACATTTAGTTTTATTTTTCTGAGTTTTATTAGTTTCCTTCTTCATATTTTTAATGGCCTGAGTCATTTTTTCCCTGACTTTTCTGACATTTGTTTCAACTTTCAGTTCAGTGGGAGGCATCCGGCACATTCTGCTCCAGCCCCTTTGTTGTGGCAAATACTCTGGAGATGACCGCGGAGCAGTGGCTTCCTCCCCAGTTTCACCAGCCGCCCCAATTCAGGATTATTCTTTACTTCAATTTTTAAGTCAGAGCTCTTGGGTGCCAGGTTTGGGTTAATTTTTGACAGGGTTTTAAAGTTTTTAAAAATTTACATTTTAATGTGGTTCAGACACTCACTGCGGTATTGCTGGCCTTTTTTTTTGCAAGTTTAATGCTTTAGTTGTAGGTATTAGCTATCCTTTTAAGATTAAAGATATTCATTTATACACTTATAGTGTATATATATGTATAATATACGTGTGTACATGAGCATAGGCACGCACATCTATGTTTGTGTGCATGCTTATGTGTAGATATCTCTCTCCCTATCTAGTCAGTCATCTGACTATTATTCAGCGTAGTGGGCATTTAGTAAACATTAATGAACACTGTGCCTGCTTTTTGCCTGGCACAGTGCTAAATGCTGGGGATTCAACTACAAATAAAGATAAGGACAGGCCCTGCCCTCAAGGGGCAGGCAGTCTAATGAGGCCTAGACAGAGTGATGCCAAAAAGGGGAGGGGAAGGGGCATGTTGGAAAGGGCCAGAGAAGTCCCCAGACCATACAGCTGGGGCTTAATTGGGAGAAGCTGTGTTTTGAGGCCCTGGAGCTCATGGCCCTGCCGGGCGATCAGAGGGGAACCTAAGACTGAGGAGATGGGAGGAGCAGGCGGGCAGGCTTGCAGCATAATGAGATTTCCCAGTGGTGAGTTTCCTGGGTGTGGTGGAGAGGTCCATGATTCTGCTCTCTGCACCTCCCCGTCCCTCTCCCCCTCCCCTCCCCTCTACTCTCCCCATCCTAGGGAAAGCCCTGTGCGAACCTTCCAGGGCTGTGTAGATGCTGGCTCTTCCCAGGACCAGCTCTGGGGTTTCCCTGGGTCAGGGAGCTCACAATTCTGCTTTCCCTTCTGCTGACCAGCCCCTGTTCTTCCTCCCAGTTTATATTTTTGGTTGAGATATTTTGCTTTGATTTTGTCAATGTAAGGAGCTCCTGGCTGAGAAATTCCTCTCATTGATGTGACTGGAAAACTTGTCTGAAATGGACAGTCTAGGGTATAGCTTGAGGCATTGAAAGTGACTCGGCCAGGGCCTCTCAGCCCTTGGGTGTCAGAGGGGGGACTTCCTGACTTCAGGGCCAGCCCTCGCTCCGCTATACTGGGCTGTCGTTCTGGATAAAAATGATACCAATGTATACTTTTTCAGCCTCTCCCTCGAAAGCTGGTCAGTTCTCTGGGCTGGTGGTTGTCCCATCAGGGTCTTCTCTGTATCTTACAGCTTGTGAATTTTGTCAGTTAGCATTGTCAAGAGCAAGGAGTCTTAACCTGGGTCCTTGATCTTGGTTAAAAATATATTTTGATATGATCGGTTCCCTATATAATCCTCTGCATTTTTGTTTTATACATCTAAACTCATTCCTGAGAAAGGGCCCAGGTTCTTCATCACATCGCCCAGGGGGTCCAGGACATCACAGAAGGTAAGAGCCACTCCCTGGTGTAGATGTTTCTGGTTCCTCCTTCCTCCTCCTCTCATTCCCTCTGCCATCAGCTGTGCCCACGTTTGGCTGAACCAGTAACAGTAATACTGACTCAAAAAGAAATCCCAAGCTCGACATGGTAACTTCACGTGTAGCCCTCTCTTAGATTCCACTGGGACCTTGAAGCAGACCTCTGTAAAGCTTGGGCATAGCCCCTCTGTCATCTCCTTCATCAGTGTAACTCTTCCACACCATAACCGTTCCACACTCATCTACACTGTCCACGGCTTGATAGCAGGGGTCTGCCCAGAAGGGTGGGGGCTGAAGGTAGAGCGCAGGCTGGAGGAATCGGGAGGGCTTGGTGGGCTGGGTGGCCAGGGGGCAGGGGGCGCGTCTTCTGTTGTAGGAATCACGGGACTGCCGGTCAAAGTGGCAGTGGGAAATATATGGGCATCTGCCTCCCCCAAGGGCCAAATAGCTTTTCTGCTATGGGGTCTTTGATTATTTATGATTTTATCAAGTAATCTAATCTGAGACAAGTCAGCATTTCTTTAGCATCAAGAATCACATTTGCGTATTTTAAGAACCTTGGCACTTCCCCACTTCTCCATAACTTCATAATAGCTAATAGCTGAGATTTCTGCAGCACTTACTATGTGCTAAGCTCCTAACAATTATCTTGTTTGATCCTGCAACAACCCTGGAAGGGAGCTGTCATTATTATGATCCCCATTATAGATGAGGAAATCAGGCAGGCAGAAGTGACTGGCCCAGGGTCACACCACCAGTAAGTGCTGGATTTGAACTTGGGTCTTCTGCCTCCAGGCCTGTGCTTATGCGCTGTTCCACCAGCTGCTGGTATGAGGATGACTTTTTACATATTCAGAATGAACACTTAAAACTAGTTTGGAATGGTCTAATCATTGTTGTTGCCCTCATTGGGAGGCAATCCTGGCACTCGATACCTCTGTGGCTCTGACAGGTCGTATAGCCTGCCCGGTTCTGTTATCCAGGCTGTGAAGTGAAGGGGATGGACAAAAGGATTTCTGAGCCTCCTTTCAGAGTGAGAATTCTGCGACCCCGCAGTTGTTGGGGTCAAGTTCTCTGGTTCTGGGACCCTCTGGGCTTACAAAGACACCAAACGTTAAGCCGTAGATCAGCGATTGATGCAAAGAGAGGTGGGTTTCCCAAAATAAATCACTAAGTGTCTTCTTTTCTGGGTGTCCTGGTTCTTGGTGTCTCCTCCTGTCCCGCCGTCTGTTCTTTGACGGCTGCCGTTGCCTGCCTACCAGAGTCACGACTCAGGAGCTGGGCTTTGGACCTTGGTGTGCCATGTTCTGTCTCCAGTCCACCTTCCAGTTTTCTTTGTTACTGTCCTAGCTGTGCTCCAGCCAAACCTCACTGGTCATGCTCTAAAATTCGGCCCCTCTGTCGAGGCCTGATTCAGATACCACCTCTTTCATCATGCCTCTAGCGAGACACAATCCTTCAGAGCTTAGATTGTCTAACTGGAGGGTTGGCAGAGGCCTTAGGAGTTCTGTGGCTCCGCTCCTGGTTTGATGGATTTTACAGATGAGTAGACCAAGGGCCAGGTAAGTGAGTTCCCCGAGGGCCCAGGGCTTACCAGGATGCCTGCAAGAATCCAAACTCAGGGCTTTGGTTTCTCTGCCCATTGCTTGTCCACCAGAGCTCATTCCCTCCCTCCATCAGAAGTCAGCTTTTCTCTTACCCTCTGTTTTATCTCATGTTAGACTCCTTTCTGTGTTGTCTTGTCCTCCTTATCAGACTTGAACAGGCAAGAGTTAACTCGTGCTGTTTGTCCCAGTAGCACAGGGTCTCGTATATAGTAGGTGCCTAATAGATGTTTGGGTTAATGTTAGAAGAATGTTGTTGTTCAGTCATGTCCAGGTCTTCGTGACCAGTGGACCATAGCATGCCAAGCCCTTCCATGAGGTTTTCTTGGCAAAGATGCTGGAGTGGTTGGCCATTTCCTTCTCCAGTCAGATCTCTCCCCTCTGACCTGTCCATCTTGGGTGAGCATAGCTCATAGTTTCATTGAGCTACTGCTCGAGCCCCTGTGCCATGATAAGGCAGTGATGGGATGAGGGGGGTAGAAATGTTAGATGATACTCACACTCATATTTGGAAACTGTTTTTCAGGGTGATCAAACTCTTTTGTGGAAACCATCTAAGAAAACAGGCCTTTGTGTCTTGGTTGCCAGAATCTTTTGATCATGTCAGTGCCAGGGTGACCTCTATTGACACATTGTCCCATCTTGTTCTTTGCCTGAGGGGATGGACTTCCCAAGTTGCCTTGGCCAGAAAAATTCATCGCGTGGTGGCTAAGGTCTGGTTTTTCCATACAAAAATTTTAAAAATGATCTTATTATTTAAGAATTGTACCTACCTTCTCTCTATTTTTTCCTTTTTTTTTGGTAGATTTGAGAAAAAACACTTCCCCCCCCTTCATCCTTTTAATGCTCTCATTTCACTAAATCATAATGTGATTTTCCATCAGAAATTTTTTCCCTTAGGGAAAAACTTCAAGCAAAAATACGGTACTAGTGGGGGTACAAATTATAGAATGACAAGACAGCATAAGAAAAGGCCAGTGTGTTTGCAGTTCATTTATCCAGAAAGGAGCATGGGCATGCCTTCCATGTCATTTTGCAGTTGTTGTCATTGGACTGATAGAACACTGGTCTCCAGAGAAGTTGCGAGAGCGGCCCCATAGCCGGAGCTCAGCCCCACGTTGGCTGCTCATTCACAGTCCAGTTTTCTTTTGACCTTAAACGCTGCTGCAAGATGAAGAGATTTTTACAAATAATAAATACCAGGCTTCAGGAATATTTTTAAAAATAATGAACAGACTACCATAAGCTTGTATGGGATTACATTGTCACATAAATAAAAATTCATGAATTCCTGGGGTTCTGAGGTCTGCCAAAGAAAATAGCCAAGTGAAGGCTCGGTGAGCCGCCATCCGTCGAATTATATGGCGGTGCTAGATAATCTAATCCTTCACAGTCCAGGGTAATGTCTAATTGTCTGAAATGTTGGGATTTCGTCTTTACTGCTGGAGAAACCAATCAGTGGGCACATACTATCACTGAAAGTCTAGATTCCCCCTGGGCCATCTGGAGCCTTTGATTACCCTCCAAAGATTGGGTTGATAGGCAGAACACAGCTGGCCTTTTTGTGGGCGCGTTAGTGCTGATAACAGATCCGTGCTCTTTTTGGGGGATGGGGAATTGGCTGATAGGGCGTGGATAGCTCTTGGGGCACTCCTGAACCGTTCTCCATTGGGCCCCTGTCTCCCCAACAGATGGGGCTGATGCTTCTGAGAGGAAGCTGAGCAGAGCATCAGCTTCTGTTTCTGAGTTAGTACCAATTGTAAGTACTTTGCTGTGTGGGAGACTTTCTCCCTCTCGTTTCTGAGACAAATTTCTGGAGCCTCAGAAGACTTTGACTATCAAGAGTGTTCTTGCTGCGTGTTGGATTTTCTCGAGGGCACGCTGTTCCTGCTCCAGGACCTACTAAACAATGCTGTTCTCGTCTATCATCTTCCTGTATGTTGAGTTGGGTAAAAATTCAGTTCCTGGGAGAAGATTATCAAGAGGGGTCTAATCATCTAACATTGAACTTGGTTGTATCTCCCAGTCTCCCGGAGACTCTGCTGCAGAAATTCAGGGGTGAAATGCTTCCCTGGCTACTGTCAATAGCCGCCATCTGTCTGTGGGGGGAAGGGCAGAAAGGATGTTGGCAATCTCTCAGGGATGTTTGAAAACACACAACAGCAAACCTCCAAAGACTTTCTTGTGTGAGGCTGGCTGTGGAACCTGGCATGATGGGAGTGAGTTCTCTAGAAAGCTCTTGCTGTCAGGGGAGGGTGACATGCGGTAGGCTTGATTTGTTCTGAAAAGCGTTTTCTAAATGCATATAAAACACGAAGTATTAAAGATCAGTACACAGAAAGTAAGCCTCCGTGGAAGGATTTGAACTCACGTCCTGTCACCCCAAGGCCAGGGCTCTCTGTCCCATGCTATCTCTCGTCTAGGGAAATGAAAAGTTTTGCTTCTTGCAAAAGAATAAATCACCTTGGCCTACTGCTGACATTTAAATACTACGTGATTTGAAGACTCATAGTTTTCTCAGATTTATTCCTGAGGCATCTTGGCATGGGACCCCCTACTTCCATCCCGCTCCACCTCTGTGGACGTGGATTAAGTCAGGCTCTTTTCTTATTTTCTGTTGATTTTAAGATCAAGTCACAAATTTTTAGAGATAGGGAGGATCTGAGTGGTGATTTGAAAGCTGCTTCCTAAGCTATAATATGCTTCTTCCAGGAAGACACCTTCTGTTATCTCAGCTGTACACCCACCTGACACAGCACGCTGCTTAGCACATCGTCAGCACTCTACAAGTGTATGTTAACTTCTTTTTTCCCCCCACTTAATAGTGTTTTATTTTTTCTAATTACATGTAAATAGAGTTTTCAACATTCATTTTTGTAAGATTTTGAGTTCCAAATTTTTCTCCTCCCTTCCCTCCCTGCTTCCCAAAACAGCAAGCGATCTGATATAGGGTATACGTGTACAATCATGTTAAACATATTCCCGCATTAGTCATGTTGTGAGAGAAGAATCAGAACAAAAGGGAAAAACCCATGAGAAAGAAAAAAAGAGAGGAAAAATAGTATGCTTTGCCCTGCATTCAGTTCTTTCTGTGGATGTGGATAGCATTTTCCTTCATGAGTCTTTTGGAGTTGTCTTAGAGCCTTTCATTGCCAAGTCATTCACAGTTGATCATCACACAATGTGGCTGTTTCTGTGTACGACGTTCTCCTGGTTCTTCACTCAGCATCAGACCATACAAGTCTTCCCAGGTTTTTCTGAAGTCTGCCTGCTCATCATTTCTTATAGCACAGTAGTATTCCATTACATTCACATACCACAACTTGTTCAGCCGTTCTCCAATTGATGGACATCCCCTCAGTTTCC